AACACACACCCAAATCCAAGACTTTCACTTTGCTTCCAATCACGAGTACAGAATCCGTTTGGGAAACAGTGTCTATTTATCACTATGGAGCATGTCAGCTGACAGTCACGCACTGCTTCATAACTGTTTTGAGGATTGCATAGGAGAGGGCGACGGCACCTGTAATGAAAAGGAAAGGGAATCCCGCCATTCTTATATTTATTTCAAAGTGTTTCTTGCCTTAATAAAGCAAAAGCTCAGAACAGACTCACATTTTATAGCAAGAGGTTCCCCTGGTGGTTTGGCAGTTTGGATTGTGTATAGGGAGGATAGGCTCTTTAATGTTTATTGCCACCCTTCAGAGAAAGATTTAAAATACTAGAGAAATATTAGAAAATACCTTTATGGGATGATAGCGGGATAGAACTGTAAAATATGGGAGAATCTCGGGAAAAACGAGAGGGTTGACAGGTATGCATTCACACAACGAGCAACTCACAGCCGCAAATCAACAAGTGACCAACTTTCAGGAAGAAAGCAGTGTACTCTTTTCATAAATGGGTAATTGAATTGTTCAATCAAACAATCTGTTAAAAAACACAGATGTCAACAATCACAGCCAAATCAAAGTAACTTATTTACATATGATTCATAAGCTGTTACAAATGGTACACTATACACTATACACTTTTGCACTATGTACTTATGCAATTACACATTAAACAGCATAGCATATGAACGTAGTGTCATCCCAAATTGAACACTAAAATGTATTTTTCTAAGTGGAAATTTAAACCGTTTTCCAGATGACGTTTTTCAGTTTACAAATTAGTGAAATAAATGACCAAACTAGTATAACCGCATTGCCATTCAGGAGGCACTAAAATCACTCTCGTAGGAGAATTTTGCATTTACAATCTAAAATAAATAATTTGAGTACCCGAAAGCTCCATCCCTTCCGCTATGTGAGCAAAGCAGCAGTCGTTGAGTGCGTGAAGTGTCCATCATTCCACACTTCATTTTACCGATTGAATAAGTGTATCATCCGGGTATTTAAAGTGAACTTAATCTTTTTAGAGTTTTCCGTGTAAACGCACAATTTACACTATTCTTACACTACAAAATGGTGTAGAGTAGTGCATAAGTACGTGATTTGGGACGCACCTACAGATCAAGCTCATGAAAAAGTCCAATTATTTTAAGCAATGCTTTTGCTAAGTCTTGTGCTTTAGAGGTCCAGCTTATAGAGTTAATAAAGTAGGCAGATGCAGATTGTGATACTTTCCCATGCTTCTTTTGTGATTATCATTTGTAATGTTTTGTATTTAAGTTTAATATGGGCTTGTTCTAATTTACTGAGAAGATCTGGTAAGACTAATGAGTCAAGATATACCCATTGACTACAATGTGTACAGTATGTAGCCCATATATTAGCGCTATGGATTATAAAAGGAGACACACTTTCTCTCTGATTACAGCATCAGCTGTGTGTAATGGAGGAGGGATTGATTAGAGGCTTGGCTGAATGGAGTACTCAAGTGTCATATTCACAAATGTATGACTCCACACAACTTGCTGAGGCAGCAATGTACAGGAATGGTGTGTAGTTTGTGGAGGGTTTTAGTTTTGGATACTGTTAAGATGTTGAAGGCAACAGCTGCTCCCTCTGTTTGATTAATGAGGTAAAACTCGAGGCAGACAGTACTGTCTCTTCTCTCTACCTCCAATCAAAATACAACCTGCGCCAATGCCCACTGAACATAGCAGGTCATGATAACATCATACAGACACGGCTTCTCACCTTAGCAAGGAAAAAAAATATCAGCAAAAAATCTAAAGGCTGTGTACAGCATATGATTTCCTACTAAGCAGCCCTAGGAATCAATGACAGAAATCAAAGCAACCAAAACGGAGCGAGAGCAGTCGAGAAATATCTCTACGCATATGTGGCAGAAATGACCCGCTGTGACGCCCTGATTCAAGGCCTTCATCTGTATTCTTCGACTCTCCGCCAGGCAGGATGGGGAGAGGAGGCAGAAAGGCTCCCAGAATTCCCCGCGGCCGGACTGATTAGAATAAAAGACCCACAGTACTGGCAGAACGAGCTCCTGGGAGCCAGGACACATTAACAGCACTAAAAGCCGTTTCATTCCAGCTCATTGCATGGCTCACAGATCAAGGCTCCATAGTCTTTCTGACATAAAACCGCCATCAGCATTTCTCTCCTTCCAATGCCAGTCTATAAACCGCTAGGCAAACTCCATAATTTGCTCTTGGGCGGCGATCTCACAAATGGGCGCCCGAGACGTTCGAGGTAAACACCACAAATGAAATTTGATAGGGAAATAGTGTATGAGGCTGGAGCATCCCTGCGGCCCACTTCTCTTGAAACATGCATCTATAGCAGGATACACCAGCACATATATATCTGACCAAATCTGACTTTATATAAGATGAAGGAGGTGATTTACGAAACTCTACAGAGAATTGATATGAAAAACCCGAGGAGAAAAATATGAGCCTGTTTAAACAGCAACTGGTGTTTACTGATAAACACAGCCCATCATTTTGAATTATAATGGAAAAAGAACACAAATGAGATGTTTGCTGCCTCTCGGATGACCCTGCAGTGTTTTCATTTCGCTGGAATGAGAATCCATCAATCTTTCATTCGAATATCTCTGAAATTAAACAGACGCTTCAATGGTATTGTTGGACTCCTCACCTTTAGCATTGCAACTAATAAACGATGCAGTGCAAAAGAGAAATCAATTGTGAAATGAGCGCTGTGGATGTGTAGGTTTAAGTGACTCATGCGCACCAGCTGAGATGTTCAGTGTCTCCATCCAGCTGGCAAAACGCAGCATCACACAGCATTGTGCTGCTGACTATCCAATGAGATGAAAAAGCCCTGAAACTAATTGGCCACTCTGACGGCACTGTGGGAATGTGTTTGAAGTTTTCACACTGGTACTTTCACACTCTTGCTGACTCAGTCGAGCGCTCTGCTTCTGGCCCACAGGATGCATCAGGCTCGCTCTCTGGTTAATACTGCAGCAGTGGGAGGCAAGCTAGCAAATATACATCATTTTAAACCTTTAACTAGAAGACTGGTCAATACTGCTTATTTTGTGTAATAAGACGTCACTTAAGAAAGTAAGAGTTTTGTCTGATTCTAATATAATATGAGCTGGATCATAGATGTGCTTTAATATGATGATTATGGAAATGAATAGATCTGAAATTCATGTAATCAAAATGAAAGACTAAAACAAAATTATTAATGGATTTAAATCAACTCTGCAGTTTCCATTGCTGTGTAAGTCAGTGTTGGTAACTACAAATAAAACATTTAATCAAATGTTTATTGTTTATTGAAATAAATCTAAAGACAATATTACTGAAAACAATAAATGAATATGAAATAAAAATAAATGCTTTTCAAACCAATATTAAAATGATATTACATGTAATGGCAAATGGCTACTTTAACATTTAAATGATCTTTAGGAAAATGCTATACAATATGGGTGAAATAATGAAACATTCATTCATTCATTTTCATCCGCTTTTCCAGGGTCGGGTCACGGGGGCAGCAGTCACAGGATAGAACCTCAAACTTCCCTCTCCCTAGACACTTCCTTCAGCTCCTCTGGAGGGATCCTGAGGCGTTCTCAGGCCAGCCGAGAGACATCGTCCCTGCAGCTTGTCCTGCGTCTTCCCCGAAGCTCGTCCTGGTGGGACATGCCTGGAACCCCTCCCTAGGTAGGCGTTCAGGAGGCATTCAAAACAGATGCCCGTGCCACCTCAGCTGACTTCTCTCAATGTGTAGGAGCAGCAGCTCTACTCTAAGGTCCTTCCGAGTGACAGGAAGAGTAGGAGTAAGAACGTAGACTGAGTGGTAAATCGAGAGCTTTGCCTTTCGGCTCAGCTCATTCTTTACCACAACGGACTGCTACATTGATCGCATTACTGCTGCCGCTGCACCAATCCACCAGTCAATCTCACGCTCCATCCTTCCCTCACTCGTGAACGAAAATCCAAGATACTTGAACTCCTCCACCTGGGGTAAGGACTTTCCTCCAACCTGGAGATGGAAAACCATCGTTTCCACTGGAGCACCATGGCCATGGACTAGGAGGTGCTGATTCTTATCCCAGCCACATCACACTTGACAGCAAACCGCCCCAGTGCATGTTGAAGGTCCATTTTCGATGAAGCTTACAGGACAACTCATCTGCAAATAACAAAGATGAAATCCTGTGGATCCTCTGCAGCCCAAGGCTGCGCTTTGAAATTCTGTCCATAAAAATTATGAACAGAATTGGTGACAAATGGCAGCTCTGCCAGAGTCCAACATGCACTGGAAACCAGTCTTACTTACAGCCGGCAATGCTAACCAAACTTCTACATACATGGACAAAACAGCCCTTAAAAGAGCGCCTCTGACCTCATTCTCCCGGAGCACCATACACAGAATATCACAAGGGACATGGTCGAATGCCTTCTCCAAGTCCACAAAACTGGTTGGGCATACTCCCATGAAACCTCAAGCACCCTAGTGAGGGTATAAAGCTAGCAGTGTCCCGCGACCTGAACAAAAAACGCATTGTTCAAACCTGGATCCTAGGTTCCAACATCGGCCGGATCTTTCTCTCCAGTACCCTTGCACAGACTATCCCAAAAAGGCTGAGGAGTGTGATCCCCCTATAGTTGGAGCACACCCTTCGGCCCTCCATCTTAAGAGTGGGAACCACCACCCCAGTTGCCCATTTACATTCTAATAGACAAAAATATGAGTGAAACCTAGTGATTTGAAGGACAGTAGCAAAGCATAAAAAATTTAAATGATAAAGAAAAAATTTAGAAATAGGCTGCTACAAGTAAATAATTTTTTAACATTTAAAATTTCAGTAGCCATATGCACAAGGTTACAACTCTAAACTAGACTTTGAATTGGTTTGAGGCTTAGAAAAAAAACATAATAAAAGTTCTTATAGCTCATATAACTCATAGCTTACCTGACATGATAGGTTGGCCAGTCATGCTCATGGGGGCCATTCCGAGGTTATTCATGGCAGTAGCCCAAGCATTAGGATCTGAAATGGGCATCGCTAAAGAGTTGGAGTCCATCGCAATATTCCGGAGTCCCTCTGAAAAAGAGAGAGAGAGAGATATTGAAACATTTAAGGATTTATATCTGACAACCCAAAAGTACAAATATGAAGACATTAATATTAATAAAGCGGAACATGTCTGAATCTGCAAAACTGAGCACATTCACAGTTTGTGTCACAAATAACTCCAGTTTTATTAAATATTTCAATAGTATAGTAAATTATGCATAGAAAACAATAAGGGTTAAATAAAACTACTTGTATTTTTATGTATTATATAAGCATAAAAAGCCTAAGCCAAGGACTGGAACTTGATGAATTGAGAAGTTCGAGTTAAAAGGGGAGAGAAGTTTCTCGGCTTAACACATAAAACATATTTTATTATGGTAAATTGGGAACCAAACTTCTGAAAACTAAATTGTGTACTATTACCACCGCAGAGGTGCCAATGTGCTTTAGCGCATCATCACTTCACAGAAAACAGGCCGCCGCTTTCATATAACTTATCATGCTGCCAGAGGTCTGATAAACTTCAGTATCGCCCACCAAAAGAATGAAGGCTATAAACCGAGAAATAGAGTTCAGAAAGTTCTCATATCTGAAGTGTGACTACTGGGCTTAAAGTGCGTGCGAGAAACCATGTGGCTCCTGCACGGAGTAGGCGGCAGTCATGGAGGAGATCATTTCTACGAACTATTGAGAAAATGTCATCGTGTTTAGTGGTCGGTCTGGGTATCATAATACAGAGTTAATGGCAAACAGCAGTGATAATGACTTTTTAGCTTCTCCGGGGGGATATCAAAAGAGGCCTTTGGTCAAAACATCTAAAAAGCACATTTATTTAGAACAGAAAGCAAATGACCAGTGTGACTTCATGCTTTGCTTCCCCATCTCAAGATAAATTAATTCTCAAGGGTTTACGGTATCTTTTAACATTTAAATAACGTCATGTCATGTCTAAATTAGCATAATTATACGTCAACAACTAAGCTTCTGCTCTTGGCTGTGCACGTACTCGGACTCTGAAATGAATAGTCTCTATGGCAACATACAGCGCCAACATGGATCCATGTGCGCCTTTGTTGCTGATAATTAATTTCAATTTTTTTCACCTCTTTAAACTTTTGCAAAACACTCAAAGATAAAATAGTGAACCCAGGTAATATCAGCTAAAATAAACCCACGTATTAAACAGTGGGAACAGGAACTACATACAGAGCTAACTTTAAACATTGAAGGTCTGCCATTTCATTAAAGTCTGAGTTTCTAATTTGCACTGTATTGACTAAGAAACGAATCAAATGGGAATCAGCAGGAAATAGCAGAAATCATTCCTCGATGCTGAGGGAGTGTCTAGTTGATCTTTTGCCGGGTGCTGGAGGACACTGTTCAAAGTCCATCTCTCAGATGTCTTCTTTACAGCAGTCTTCCTCTCATTCATCCAAACAGACCGCAGAGGTCCAAGGTTTCAAGTGAAAACAGTTGTTTAATCATTTGTATCAGTGGCAGTGGTGTGAGTGGACTGAAGAGACAGGCAATTTCCCTTCTTGTTGAAAGAAGTCTTCGTTCCAAATCCACACCGGATTTTCCATTTTCCGCTCCTCAATCACTCTCCACTCAATGGCTAAAGAAACTTTGCTCTCAAACTTTGTACACCATCATTTAAAAGTTGGGGAAGGGAACCATTTTTATGTTATTGAAAGCATTTTTAAAATACCATCAATTTTGTTTAGTGAAATGTCATTTTCATGTTTTTTATGAGCCCCTGAAAAGGTAGTATTTCAATAATTTAACAATATTTTTGCATGTTCACTGTTCTCTGAAGGTAATGTGACATTTAAGTAACAAAATATGTGTATTATTTACATTAAGGCTCCATGTATTTGATAAAAAAACAGTAATCTTACTGATCCCAAACTGTCATCTCAATTTTATAGACCCTTTTCACATTTTCGGGTTTCTCAGTAGCGGAAGTCATCATAATTGGAAAATGTAGAGTCTAGTGAATCAGAAAGTACAACAAATAAATTGATTACAATCCTGTTTGCTGAAATAATACAAGAACATCCTTGATAGTGTTATCAAGTCTTTCAGAAAAATAAAAAAACGAATAACCTCAAATTTACTCTCAGCCCCATAGACGCTGCATTAGAAACAACTTGCATAAGCGGTAATGTATTTTTCATATATATATATATATATATATATAATTTGATGCAAAGATGATAAAATACATTCATAAATGTATATAAATGTTCATACTTAAACAAAAAATATAAATTTATATTAAAAACCTTCAAGGATTCAATAATATGATGACCGTTAAAAATATAACAGACTTAAAACATTCTTTCCAAAACAATACTCCTACTCAAAAAAACAAACAAATAATAAAAACACACACACGCACAAATTTTCTACCTGCTCCATTTTCAGTCTGCACCACTCACACACCCCAATCAGTAGGCTTGAGGAACATTGCAAAAGCCCTACCCAATGTAAACGCTGCTATCAAAGCATCACATTATGTTAGTATTTAAGATTTGGCTAATGCAATGCCTCAATAGACTCCCTATTTCACTTTCTGATGAAAATACACAAGTTTTGTATTCAAGCTGTGGATCTGAAGTTTGTTTGGTCAGAAACTGGAACTGATTAAAGGCTCTTTCACTGGCAAACCAAAAAAAGGCATTCTTAAGATCACTTGAAAGATTACTCAATAACTCAAATGATTACAGCACAGGATGTTTGCTGGACTAACTGCCTCTTCTGCCAAAGCTGATGAGGCCATTTGTCTTTTCGGAATAGAGAGGTAAACAAGACTGATGCTTCAGCAAATTCAAAAAGTAAAACCTATTGAACAAACTCATGAAAAACCTAATATGAAGTTTATTTATTTTTAAAAATGAAATTATACAAAAAAGGAATGTGGAATGGCAGGCACGGTGACTCAGTGGTTAGCACTGTCGCCTCTGCAAGAAAGTCACTGGTTCGAGTCCCAGCTGGGACAGACCCCATGTTCGCTTGGGTTTCCTCTGTGGGGGACACATCTGGTGCAAGTGAATTGTATGAGTGCATGTGTAAATGTGAGAGTGTATGGGTGTTTCCCAGCACTGGGTTGCGGCAAAAGTGGCATCCGCTAGAAGGGGTTAATTAAGTGGCAGTAGTCAGTAGCTATGTGTCCATCCAAAACTGTGAATTAACGTTGTGTGCAACACTGGATTATTGCATAAAATACATGCGAATAAATAGTTTCCATCCAACGAGTCAAAGACAATAAAATCGTCACTTCCTGATAAACCTCCGCCAAATATCAACAGTAAAATCTGAATTTGCTGTGGTAGGAGAAGCTGCGTGAATCTTTTTTTTATTTAATATATTACTTGCGTCTCAGAAGATGATGTCGACACACAATGAACGCGCAGTGGCGGCTGAAGAAGTGAGACGCAAAGCACAGATGCTCTTGATTCTGAAGGTAATTAATTATATAATAACACTAATACTGAAAGGTTAAGGCATTTTAGAATGACCAAAACAACTTTTCAGATGTTTTATAGTGTGTCAGCCTGCTGATTTGTCCATTCACAAGCATTTTTATCATCCTGTGATCTCCTATAACAAAATCACATGACCTTTTTTAATGTGCATACTGAAATGTGTTCAAATAGTGTTTCCATCAACGTTTATGCACATCTTTTTTATCGAATAAATAGTTTATCCTTCTCAGTTATGCGCATAAAAAATATTATTTGCTAAATTTATGCGCAACTTGGCGTTTTCATCAACCAATTTTTATGCGCATATCCAAAACGCACACAGGTGGATGGAAACGTAGCTATTGACTTGTATTTTAAAAATAAATCAACATGGCCTGAGAGAGTCAATTAACAGCGATTCAACGCTTTTGGAAACGGCCACTTAAAGTTAATGTCAAGAACGATAACTTTAATATTAACAACTGTGAATTAGCATTCATACAACAGCATGATGATATAATGTATACCTCAAGCACTCTGCTTATTATTATTATTATTATTTTATTTTTGGTTTGGAAAAGTCAGAATGATTGTTAAAATACCTTAATTGTTATCATCCTCAACGTGAATGTTTGTTTATAGTATGTACTCACTGTATTAGATTGTCCTAACCCTACAAACCCACTTTAAGAGGAAGTGACTTCCCGGGGGACTCATCTCATCTCTTTAGGTTTAAATGTCCTTTGGGTCGCTAAGTCACCTTTGTAAAACTTCTGAGAGAGGGAGCAATTAGAAAAAAGAGGCTGTCTGAAAGTCACAGGGGATGGATGGGGAACGTGTCCCCCATAGGCCTGTTTTTTTTATCATCTATAGCTCTGTCATGCACGCGCGCACGCCCCCCCTCCACACACAGACACACACACACACACACACACAAACGCACATGCCACTGTGTGGTCACAAAACTTTCTCAATAAAGCTGTCCATGGCTCACTGCCCAAAGCTCCCTCAGAAGGCCAAGAAAACTCAGAGAAATTTATTTTACGATCTACAAGGTCTTAACCGCTAGACGGACAATTACTGGCAACTGGGACAACTTTAACAGGAAACTGAGGGTCGTGAAGAAATTCATGGAAAGTTTACATACACATAGATTGACAACCACATCTATTCTTCCTGACCTGTTTGACCTGTAGAATTTTGTTTTTCATAAAAGAATAGCTTACTGAGAAATGAAAAAATAGACTTTATAAGGTATACATGTAAGGCTGCTGTGTATTCACTTATGCTATTATTTGTTCTTTGAAGCAACATACATGAATCCTAAAAGGCAGCGGGGTCCAAAACAACATTGGTCAGACAAATATATACTGTAGCTCAAGCATCAAGCACATGGTCATGTGCCTTTTAATATTTGCAGTTTTTTTCTGTTTATTTATGGTTGTGAATTGCATTATGGGATGTTGATCTCTGCTCTGTCCACTTTTAATGTTAAAAAATCAACTCTTAAAGAGACATTTAAACAAAATCACACTTTTAGTGACATTTAGTTGTTTGAAA